ATTTATATGCAATATGGTGTCTCAGCACCGACGTTTCCCCTAACTATACCACAAACATTAAAATGAGTTTAATCTTTTTACTGAAAATACGTTTCTGTCTTTCTTTATATCAAATAAGGGAGAATAATGTATATATGATTAAAATGCAAATGAAATGTATCATATATTTTGTGGGTTTTTTGCTAATAATATCTAGAAATGTTTATTTGTATTAAATTATATACATCCATACACGAACACGGTAACATATCTTTCACTCAATAATAATTTAACTGTTTTTCATTGCCCTCAATTTCGAATAAATGATAAATACTTATTTATTTGATTTCTTTAAATTGAACAAATAGCTATTGCGCATATTTTTCGAAATTTAACAAGTGTATCGTGTTTTATATTGTCCAATTTAATACCTGTAGCTGTATAACCTGATGAAGTCTTTGGAAATTTAAATATATATATATATACATTAATTGTTTAGTACAAATGTTAAGCCTCGATTGATACGTAAAGAAATGTCGTAAATGTTCATGAACACTTAGTCATATTAGAACAGTATTTGGTAATATATTTGTGTAAAAAAAATGATTAAGAATAAATGGGGTTTTGACCACACACACAAATGTAATATTTTTATTAACTGTTTATTGCATTGATTAATAATTATGCTTATAAATTTAAACAAAGTGATTTTTAATTTTTTTATTAATTGTAAGATTATTTTGTTTTTTTTGTGGGGGGGGGGGAAGAAAGACTATTTCCTGGCCTAACCCACTTGAATTAACCTCAGACACATTCGGTTCATGAATAGTTAATTTTTATAAGAGCAATGATTCAATTTTTGACAAGCTTTAAAATTCATGTCGTCCAATGGTACGGTTTTTCAGAGGAGCAATACATGTTTTTTTCAAGATCATTTTTGTTTAAAGCGTCCCCTTGATTTGTCCTTGTGATAGGGTCACCATCTGTAACTATGAACTATTTTATTTTCGCACCAGAACCAATCACTCCTTTGTCTCTCTCAAAGGCAGCACAATTAGAAATGGAATAACGCTGAAGCGTGTCTTGACAAAGAATATTGATTGACCTCAATTTAGTTTTTTAGTATTAGGGCTAGTAATATGGTTCAAATAGTAACACATACATATTTTGTTTTGTTCACAAAATACACTGACAGAATTGTTAATTTGTATACTCATATTATTTCCTAAATATACGCTGTTCATAGTGGTCAAGACATGATTTTTTTTATAAGACATCTGTTGATTTTATTCTTCGAGGATTTAAAAAAAGAAACAGCTTTTTTCTTATATGTACCTTTTTTATCCCCAATAAACTCATTGCTTCATAATTGTACATTTTAATAAACTCTTTATTTGATATATACATATATATATATATATATATATATATATATATATATATATATATATATATATATATATAT